ACGATTTCCTCATTTCATGTGACATTACTGGTTAAGGCATCAGTGTTAAAGCAGCATAGATTGTAGAAGATACCATTTGCATTATTTTACTTTTCTTTCTTTGCAAGTTTGCAAGTTTAGAATTCCTCTTATATCATGCTTGAATACCAAGATTGATAAATAAGAGCAGCCAGTTACGTAGTGTAGATATATAGAAATTAGTCTAAATGAATTTTAGGTTATTTATGGCATATATATAGATCTACTCTGGGTGGTCTGCAGGACATTCATACTTCATGGCCAAAGCTATCCTTAAAATTAGAAAGATATATTTTCTTCTTTTTGAGAAAGACTCTAAATCTTGAATTATAATTTCATTTTGCATTCTTGTGTATGATATCTCTCCACATCTATGGTTTTGACATTGATTCAGCTATCACTTGCATTTGTTAGAATGAAAAATGTTGAAGTTTCTTACTTTGTGTTTGCCCATGGATGGTATAAGGCATCTAGAACTATTGGTGATGCATACATGAAGGAGCCAGAGTATAATGCTGATCCTAGATTCAGACGATACTACCTCCCTCTCCCTGAGCCATTCCAGCGGCCTCTTCTAACTCCAGAACCATCATTGCATAGAAGGGTCTTACAACCCAGTGATGGGTTTGTCATTTTTGCATCTGATGGACTTTGGGAAAATTTGACAAACCAGCAGGCTGTCGATATTGTCAATAAACATCAGCGAGCAGTAAGTGCTTTTCTTTCATCTCAGTGCCAACTCTTTGCCATTTTCACCTTTTGTTGTTGTTTCACCTTTCCTGATCTGTTTAAAAAATGTTAGGGAATTGCAAGAAAACTTATCAAAAGAGCTCTAAAAGAGGCCGCAAAGAAGAGGCAGATGAACTTTGATGAGCTACTGAGGGTTCCAGATGCAACAAGGAGGAACTTCCATGATGATATCACAGTTGTTGTCATCTTTGTAGACCATGACTTGCTTGAAAAGGGGGCATCTGTACCAGAGCTTTCAGTACGTGGATTTGGTGAAGTAAAGGTCTGCCATCCGATGTAATACTAGTCACTAGACATGATCTGTTGAGATCTGCAAGCCTTTTTTGTGACAGATGAATGTTGATATCCCGGGTTTTCAATTTGCTTTTATACCCTTTCAAAGTAAGCTAGAGCGTGCATCAAATATTGAGGCTTTGTTCTCTCATATTAGGTATTCATTCTTTTGGTATACTCTGTAACAAGTACTCTGAATAATTGGAGTGACGATCAGCTACTAAGAAAGCTGGGAGTTTCCTTTTGTAATTCTTCTTTGTCTTCAGCTCCATGTTTGGCAACAAGCAGTTTTTGCTGAGTGCGAACTCAATTAGAAAGCATGAGTGCTATATGATCATAACTTATATTTAACAAAATCAACTAATCCTTTGAAATGACACTTCTCTTTAAGCTCTAAATTGAGTAATCTAAGGATGTCTCAACACTAGATAACATCCTTATTTGTCACCAATAAAAAAAAAAAAAAAATTCCCTATTGCGTAATGAGAAAAAGCTAGTGTCCTTAATTAACGCCTTGGCTTCCACACTTTCATTTCAATCTTTTTCTTTGGAAATGAATTGGCCAAGTAATTTATGTAATAATTATGTGTATCTCACTCATATTAAAATTAACGAAATTGGTTGAGGGTAGTTTTGGTTGAAAAAAAGTTGAGGGCATAGTGTAGAATACTTCATAAGGTATTTTTTAAATTATCCTAATTCTTTAATTTTATGGACTTAAAGGTAGTAGTTTAATTAATTAAGAGTTTGAGATTTTAAATTAAAAATTTTAAATTTGAATTTTGAGTCAGATGACAAAGAATTTATGAAAAAAAAAATGCTTATTTCTTCTTATATAATTTATCATCAACTATAAAAACAAAAATCCTTTAATTTTGTGTGTATTAACTTAATGACTTTATATAGAGTAAATCAATAATAATCGAAAATTTTTTTGAAAGAAAAAAATTTTCAATTATCATATATGGTCTATATAAAATCATTTAATCATACTTTATGAAAAATTCAAAAAATTGATAAATAAACTAGACCAGATGGAGTAATATTTGTCCAAAAAGAAATTAGTAATCTACAAGGGTAAGCTTTTGCAACTAGGAGTCCTTATCATTCATAGTTCCCCAAAAATATGCCGTAACTAAAAATGAAAGGAAAAAAAGAAAAAGAAAAAAGGACATGATTCTGGCATGATTATATATTGATTATTTATTGAATGAGCTCGTAAGTTATGTCAAACAAAACGATTGCTATCTTTCTATAATCTATTGTCAAAGGTCATAGCTATCATTGTGATCATGCAATGTCATTGTGCACTAATAATAAGCTCCATTTTAATACTTTTCAAAACAATGGCTACAACTATAAAATAAAATCTCATGATAAGGTTGTGAATCTAAACTTTAATAACAAAGTTATCAATCTCACTTCAAGAATCCGAGCTCAAAGGTGTGTGTGAGGTGAAGGAGGAAGTTGGTGAATATCTTTATTTTCTATCCAAACTATAGCACATAGGCCTAAAATAATTTAAGATTGTCTAACTTGTACTTTAAGAGCAAGATTAATAAGGGCATTACAAATATATTTTTTTGCAATTAATTTACATGAAAATTATAAAAATTGACATTTATTTAACACCATTGACACGTAAATGATTTTAGTTGATTAATTGATTAATTCAAAGTAAACACTTATTCTTTTCATACAAATTAATTATAAAAAAAAAACATTAATTATATTTATAACTTATATCCTAAAAATACAAATTAAAATAATTAAAATAATTTTTTTTCTATATGACTTTGTAGTTTTACAGTTTACCCAATATGGACTAGGCATCACTTTTTGTTTCCAGATATGGTGAAGTTTTAAAGGTAGAGACATTGTCAATCAATATTAGAAAAGAAGAGTCTTTATGATTTAATTTGCCAAAAAATATTTTTATTTTTTTATCAAACTATAGGACATAGGCCTAAAATAATTGTTTTATTTTTGAATTTATAGTTTTAAGATAGATTGCACATCGCCTGCTGTTTCCATATTTGGTAAAGTTTTAAAGTAAGAGACATTATCAACCAATATCAGAAAATAAGAGTCCTTATCATTTTATTTCCCAAAAAATACAGCATCCCAAGAAAAAGGGAGAAAAAATCGGCATTGCTGGTTCAGAATCACAAAGCTTCGACCTCCGTCAACTTCTTCCCCTGCAACTTGCGCATTATAAAAACCACAAATTTCTTCAACTTCTCTGTGTTTCCCCTTAGAATCAAACCCTCCATAATAGCATCTTCAGTTCTTCGTTTTCCTCTCTTCTCTTTGTTTCTCAAAATCTTCAATCTTTTCCCTCTCTGCGAATACACGGGTCACCTGAATATTGCATTTCCATTCCCTTTACATCTTTCACTTTCTTGATTCTTTTCCAGTCCATTGTTTCTCAGCTTCTTTCCTGTTTTCAAGAAATACCCACAAGTTCGTTCTTTCTTTTTCTCCAAGAAACTTAGAGGGTTTGTAGAGGAGTCACTGTTCTGGGCGTTTACTCTCTTCCTTTGGGTCTTCAGTGATTGGTTCTAAGAGGGTTTTGTTCAGAAGGGAAATGAGCAAAGATGTCGAAGTGGTTAGAACAAAACTTTCTTTCTTGCTTGAGACCGATGGGTCGAATTCTTGGTTTGAGCAAGGATGACGATCTTCGCTCCCTCCTCTGGACGTCGGACGTCGAAGATAACAAGCACGCCTACGGCGAATTCTCATTCGCGGTGATGAAGGCCAATGTGTTCATTGAGGACCACAGTCAGGTCGAGATTGGAAAGGAAGCTACCTTGGTTGGAATCTATGATGGGCATGGCGGTCCAGACGCGTCTCGCTACATAGCTGATAATCTCTGTCGAAATTTGACCAGTCAGTACCCATTTTTTCTTTTCAATTGAGTTTTTTCTTTTGGTATGAATGGCATGAGTTTTGTGAATTATGAATATCTTGAATGAATTTTGGAAATAATGGAAATGTGAGTCAGTAGGGTCAGTTTTTGTTTCTTGGGTGTTTGATTTGGTGTTTGGTATTTGATTCTGTCAAAGAATTTGCAAATTTTAGTCGTAATTTGTTGGATGAGAGCTTCTGCGTTGTTTCAGTTATTTTCTTTATATTCAAGCTATCTCAATTTCTTTTGGCATGAAAGATTATGATTGTTGATATCTGAACTTCTTTGCAGAAAAATGGTGTGTTGGCATTTTCTGCTTCATAACATGACTATAAATCTTGCAATTTGCAAATAATGGTTACTGGTTTTATGCATGAATGCACCATTAATGAGTCTTCAACTTAGGAGAGGTCAACATGTATTTTATTGTAACCTCACTTAACCTTATATGCAGCTTGCAACATTTTTGTAGTGCTTTAAAGTAATTTCTTTTACAATGCATCTCTGTATCATTCAACAGGGCTTGTTCGAGAAAATAGAACCTTTTCTGAAGATATTCTTAGAAATGCTGTTGCTGAAACTGAAGAAGGATTTCTTAATCTTGTACGTCAGAATTATAATACAGATCCGAGAATTGCTAAAGTTGGCTCCTGTTGTCTCGTTGGAATTATATGGAGAGGATCACTTTATGTTGCTAATTCGGGTGATTCTCGAGCTGTCATTGGTTGTTTGGATGGATCAGGCAATGTGGTTCCTGAACAGTTGACTACAGATCATAATGTAAATGTGGATGCGATCAGAGAAGAAGTTGAGGCGTTACATCCAGACGATCCAGAAATTGTAGTTTTCAAGAGGGGATCATACCGTATTAAAGGCATAATTCAGGTTAGCTCTTGCATGGTTTTTTCATTCTCTTTTGCTCTTTGATCCTTAGAGACGTTTCTAGAAAATTTTAGGTATCGCTAAAGATAAAAACAATGGCAGTTACCTATTGGATGTCCATTTCTTTTAGTGTTAGCACTAAGTAACTAGACACTTCATGGCTAAAATGATCCTCATAAGTGGAAAAGAGATAGTAGGATTCTTTTATGAAAGACCCGAATCTTGCACATAAACCTACCACTGGCAGTCTGGTAACAGAATCTTGCACATAAACATCACTGGCAGTCTGGTATAATAATTTCACTCTTCCATCTTGTATGATTCCATATCTCTAGATTTATGGCTTATTTCACACCCCTTTATTATGTTGTGTTTGCTTGTGGATGGTGACAGGTTTCTAGAGCAATTGGTGATGCATACTTAAAGCAGCCAGGGGACTATTTTCATAGGTCACTGGTCAGAGCACACGAACTCTCTGCTGCCCCCAATCAACCTGTTCTAACAGCACAACCATCAGTGGAAAGAAGGGTTTTACAGCCCACTGATAGGTTCCTAATTTTTGCATCTGATGGGCTTTGGGCAATTTTGACAAATGAGCAGGTGGTTGATATTATAACTACGAAACCAAGAGAAGTAAGTGTTTTTTAATTTTCCACTTCTGCACATGCTCTGTGGGTTTTAAAATTTTTCATTAATTCACCTTTCTCTCTGTTTTAAAAATGTTAGGGAATTGCAAGAACACTTATCAGACGTGCTTTAAAAGAGGCAGCAAAGAAGAATGAGATGAGCTTTAATGCTCTTAAAAGGATTAGAGAAGGGAGAAGGAACTACCATGATGATATTTCAGTTGTTGTCATCTATTTAGACCATCTGTTGCCTGCAAATGCAGCATCCGTACAAGAGCGCGCAATACATGGATTTGATGGCATACTTAAACCTCTGAGTTTTAACATTCCGTTAGAGATTGGTTCAAGTACAAGCACTACTAGTGGTCTACCATTTGAAGCAACAGCCAGTACAAGTGCAAGCACTAGTCCCCTTCGACTGCCCAATCTGGTGGAAGAGGGAGAGATCCAATTAGCAAAGTACTAGTCCACAATCTGAAGCAACATTCAGCACAAGTACAACCAATAGTGGCCTACCATCTGAAGCATCATCCAGTCAGCAGATATGATCTGTTGTATTGAAGAAAACTAGGTTCAGCAACATTACATCCATGCTATACTAAGACTGGTTCAAATACACGGTCCGCAATCTGAAGCAGTACTCTGTCACCATACACAATCTGTGTAGTTGTAGAAAACTAGGTTCAGCATGCTTTCAACAATTTTAGCATTTTGTTCTGAGACGGTTGATTGTTGATTTCCCAGCTTTTTTGTTTCATTTTTACCCTTACAAAGTTAGCCTGTGCATCAAACATTGAGGCTTTGTTGGATGATGAGCTTTGGGCTCTCCTGTGAGGTATTCATTAATGCTTTCATCTTTTGGCATGTATTCTGTATTAAGTACTCTGAGTATACCCTATGATTTTGTGATCACCTCACAGGTGAAGCCGTGAGAGTGTGAGTTCTCTTTTTCAATTCTTTCCTCTCTTCCACATTTGGAGTCTGTAAATGTAGAAAATGAGCAATTACATGCTTTGATTCCATAAAATTCTGTTACGCCATTACTCTATTGTTCATCCTCTTGAAAAATCCGGTTATTGCATCCCTGATTTTGTATTTGAACAACCCTGAAACATGATGGTTAAGTCTAACCAAGAGTCATGGACGATGTAAAGATTCTTATGGTTCTCCTTAAGCTATAAACTATGCAGTACCTCCCAAAGACCATTCTGTATATGCAGTATTGTACGGATAATGGATTACACCAAACTATATAATTTAAACTATTAAATGGACACAGACCCAAAAGAGATTAATTAAGGCCACACAAAAAATTGTTGGGACCACACAATTTTTTTTTTTTTTATAAATAGTCAATTATAGTATTTAAAAATATCAATATATATAGATTAAATTTAATCTAGTAAGTAATAAATATCAATTATTTTATTATTTATCCACTAACAACTATTCTTATTACTATTAAAAACATTTAAACTAAATAGAATTACTATTTTAAAAAACAAAATTTAAAAGTCTATGTAAGCTCAATAATTTATTGTATTGCCATAACCATTCTTGGTTGGTTAGTCCCTTTTTACTAGAGACTGTTTTCATTCAATTGCACAAGTTTTGCAGTCTAATTTAATACGTACTACAAAACAAGATCTCTTTTTGGAATTGGAATTAGCCCCCAGAATGCCAGAAATCAACAAACTGCAAGTTGTTTCTTAGATGTATAAAGGCAAAAAAAAAAAAGAGAACTTTGATTAATTTCAGAGAAGATAGCAAGGCTCAATGATCTAACGTCGGAAGATCTTGTTATGGAGATTGTCTTGGCTACCGCCAATCACTTTGATACGGTTCAAATGCGTCAGCAAATCAGGGTGTTCTCGCGTCCAAAACCCTCAGTTCGTGGCCACACACCGTCAGAACTACTTCCGCTCCGCCTCCTCCAACAACTTTTGTATCCTTCTCCAACGCTACTGTCCCACAACCAGTGAAAACGTTTTATCATTACTCACGTATGATGTTAAGACGCAAGCGACACATGGAGGAGATGACGATTTTCCTAATTTCCTTGTCACGAACGTGGGATTACCTTATTACGAAGACACCCCAGATTTTGAAATTTCGGGCATTTGTGATGGCATCATCTGTTTCTATGATCGTGATAGAGTCATAATAGCTAATCCTGCAATAAGGCAGTTGAAAATTCTTCCAGAGTCTTGTACTTGCCTTCCACCAAATGAGGATAGTGAGAATGGAAGCTACATGCTGTGGGATTTGGCTATGACCCTAAAGCTAATGATTGTAATTAAGGTTGTTAGTCCAAACATGGATTATCATGGTCTTCATCGTTGAAGAGTCAAGATGTACACTTTAAGCTCAAATACTTGGAAGGAGACTGACAATTTTGTTACGGTGTTACTATTTTTGACTTGCCTTGTTTCAAAAGATAAGGGAATGAAGTCTATTATTAGTATGGAGAGTCACTTGGTTCGAGTGTGGATAACTTTGAAAAGCGACAGAAAGTACTTGTTTTGTTTGACTTGACTTGTGAGGTCTTTCGATACATAATCATGCTAGAACCATGTCGGGATCCATTGATGGTTTCTTGGTTTTACCTCATTGAAATGAATGAATCCCTTTCTCTCTTCCATTTTGGCAGGGAGGAGAAATCATTTGATGTTTGGACAATGGATGAATTTGGGGTTGATGGGACTCGGACAAAGCTACTACGTATTGGACCTCTTTTGGCGTATGGTGATACCTTTGCTGTTTATGAAGAGCGATGAGCTTCTCATAGAGGAAAGTGGACAGATGGTGTCCTACAACCTCACAACAAAGCAAATCAAGAGATTGCCTGTATATGGAGGAAAAGAAGCATTTCAAGCTTGGATTAACAACAGGGTCTCGCTAATTTTAATACACATGGGCAATATTCAATTAGAAAAAGGCCATTGCTTCAATTTAGCTTTTGTGATCAGAAATTCTTTACAAAGAGATTGAATTCTTTTATCCTATATGTAGTGTATATTTTGTAATGTTTTTCATTACTTAAGAGAAAGAAGAATTGAAGAAGAATTGAAGAAGAAAATTAACTCACAGCTTCTATCTATGAGGTGATCAACATTGAATGTATTTAGAGAGTACTTTTTACATGATATGTCAAAACAAAAAGAATACAAACATCAATATTGAATATTCACCATAGGGTGTATATACGAGGCATGTCTACACAGATCATGAATGAAAAGAATGTGTCAAATCTGTTTTCAGGCCATGTCTTCCCAGCTTGTTCAGTGAGGTTATCACTACAGACTGCAGGGTATACTCAGTACTTTTTACAGAATATATGCCGAAAAAACTGAAAACCAGACAGGAGATATCAAAGTTTGTCATCCAACAAGAAGCCTCAATGTTTGATGGAAGCTTAGTTAGTCAGGGTAAGGAAGAAAAATAAAAGCCAGAATATGAATTGTCAACTCTGATAAAAGGTTGCTAGCTGAACCTGCTTTTCCACAACTCAACAGATCATATATCTAGTGACTGAGTATTACTTCAGATGGTGGACCTTGTACTTGAACCAATCTTAGTATGGATAAAAGCTTCATGAATCTGGTTTCAACATATTAGCAGATTATGTATGGCAACTTGATGATGCTTCAGATTTTAGACCACTGTTTGAACTTGTATTGAAATCAACAATCTCTTCACAAATTCTAAAACTTGATGGTCCATCAGAGCTGCTAAATCCACGTATTGATCGCTCATGTGCAGCTACTCCCCCTTTTTCAAGAAAGTCATGATTTAAAAAGATCACAAGAACTGATATGTCATCATGGAAAGACCGCCTCTCCTCTTTTTTAACACTGAGAAGGTCGTCAAACCTCATTTGCTTCTTCTTTGCTACTTCTTTCAGAGCTCTTATGATAACTCTTCTAGCAATTCCCTTTCAATTGAAGAAAAGGAAAATCAACAAGAGAAGGTAAAAATGAAAAACAGCAGAATCTGAAATGAAAGAAAACACTTACTGTTTGCTTATTTTCATTAACAATTTCAACAACCTTTTTCTTTGTCAAATTTTCCCAAAGCCCACCAGATGCCAAAATAAGGAATTTATCATCGGGATATAAAAGCCTTCTACACAATTCTGGCTCTCCTTTTAGAAGAGGTGGATTGAATGGGAGGTAAAGTTTGTATCGTTGGAAGAAAGAAGAATGCACATAACGATTTGGGATCTTCAAGAATGCAGAACCAATAGCTCTAGATACCTTACACCATGAACGAGCAAAGTACAAACACTAGATAAGAAAGTTCGAAACTGAACAGTTTGCATTCTAACAAATTACAATCTACCACTTAATCAATGTAAAAAATGTGGATATATATTAATATCAAGACACAGAAGCTTGGTACTCAACAGTGTTCTGCAAAGTACTTGAAATCTAGAATCCATTTAGACAAGTCTCTATTTGTGTACACTCTAGTAAGGGAGGGTTTGTATGCCTGTTTGAGGAGGGGTTGCAATTTAAGTCACAGAAAATAAGATCACTCATGGCATTAAAACATGATAAGAGGAAATTTAAAATACAAACTTGCACAGAAAGAAAGTTAAAACAAGGCATAGGGTTTCTCCTGTGGTCTATGCTGCTTTAGAGATTGATATCTAAACCAGTAAAATGAAATATGATGAAATCTATTGGAGCATAACTTTCACTGAATTCAACGCAAAGATGGTTAATTGGTAACTTCCAAACTTGAACACAATTAACACAAGTATATTCCATTCAGAGTCTTCAAATCATGAGTAAGCAGTACTGTGGGCTATATATATTCCTTATTTGGAGAGTCAACAAAATGCCAAATGTTCTATTTGTTGCTAATTACCCACATGCAATAAGACTGGTGATTTCAGCAGAAAACAAGGAAAATGTGTAAAAACTAACCTGAGGAATGCCTTTACTACACCAAACTCCATCCTTCTCAAATACAATATCTGGATCATCACGATGCAATGCTTTAATTCTTTTTCTAATGTCCTCCACATCCGCAATATGATCTTTGGTCACCTGCTCAGCGAAGATATCAGATTTTCTAAGTAGAATACCAATTACAACTCTAGAATTACCCACATTGGCAACATATAATGACCCTTTCCATATAACCGTGGCCAGACAACAAGATCCAGCTTCATCATACACAGTCTGAAGAAATTCATCTTCAGTAGCAACAACAGCACGTTTAAGGACATCTTCAGACATGGTTCCTTTTTGAGCCAGCCCTGTTGAATGACATCCAAGAAGCACTCTTAACAAATCCCTGAAAGCACTAGTAAAGCATCCAATCAAGCAAAAAGGAAGACAAATGCACAAGTATAAAATCACCACAAAGTTACCCTTGACCAATATCTATCATAGAAAATTAAGATTACACTAATGATATTGAAAGCCACATTATAATTTCTTCAACTGTTCCTAACAGATGCCAACAGAAAATACATTTGAACAAACATTTAAGAGGAAAGAAAAGATTAGACATAGCTTAAACGCTGAACGAACAACATATAGAGTCACATGGCAGCATATAGATGTCGACCTGTTCATCAGTTCATGAATTCAAGAGGAAACATAACAAACAACATTTATACCAAGAAATTTTAAACTTTACAAATTCCTGTACAAAGAAAAAAAACCCAAGAAACCAAAACGGACACAAGAGACTCACACATGCCCATTATTTCCATAACTTATACAAGAAATGCATCATTCAAAACAAACCCACAATTTCGGCCAAAACCAAAAGACAGAAATAAACAAACCCACAATGAAATTAAGAACTGAATAGTAAAGACACTTACTGGTTAAATTATTGCAGAGATTATCGGCTAAAAAGCGAGACGCTTCGTCAGAATCTCCATGCCCATCGTAAACCCCAACAAAGATAGAGTCCCTCCCAATCTCGAACTGGCAGTGGTCTTCCATAACCGGATTGGCTTGAAGCATCGCCAATGAGACTGTGCCAAAGGGGTGCTCGTCGATGTCCCTTGACCAGAAGAGTGGGCCTAGGTCAAGCTCATCTTCTACGTCGCTCATCATCTTTGCTCATTCACAAAACCCACCAAATCTCTTGGCCAAAAAGAAAGAAAGAAATTGTGGGGCTTTCTTGAAAATAGAAAACAAGCAAGGAAACAATAGATTAAAAAAAAAAAATCAAGTGAAAGAGGGAAAGATTATACTTTTGGGAGTTGAGTTGAGAAACTGTGAGAAATGTATACGCACAGGAGAAAGATTGACGACTGAAGACTGAGAAACAAAGAAAAAGGAACAGATGATGAAGAATTTGGATCAAAGTAAACAAACAGCGAGATGCTAGTATGAAATGGGAGTCTGTAATACTGAGAGGAGGGAAACAGAAAACTGAAATGGAGAAAATGGAAACTTTTTGCGGGGAGGGAAAATATGAATGACAAGGATTCCCACTTACAAAAGTTCACCAATTCCGACCATCAAAAGAAAAAGTTTAATAATTGCATAATACTACAATTTTGGATTTTTGGGAAATGTTATGCATACTCTCAACCTTCGTTTCCTACCAAAGCTGCCCTCAAGCTACATATGTCTCAAAAATTGTCTTTGTTTTTGTTTCTAACCAATTACACCCTCCCCCCCTTTTTTTTTTACTTTTTGAAAGTAAAGGTCTAAGTGCATAAATATCACAACTTAGATACAATACACCCTATCATATATAGACCCTAATCTTTGTCACTAGGTCAAAACCATGTAATCAATTACTTTTGTTAATCTTAATAGAATACCATTTTATCCACCTAGACCTATATAGCCTTAAGCCTGAGCATCAATGGAAACAAGATAGGCATCATTAATTTATATCATATTAGTGTCAAGCTTTCCTTGTTTGAATTGTGATTTAAGGAAAGCATTAGCTGTTGAGAAGACTATTCAAAGAATCAAGTTGTTCACCCCAAGACTTTGTGATTTATAGTAGGAGTAAGGAGTAAAAAAAGCACTTATTCTAATGTGTAAACAGAAGGGAATGCCATATGGCCAATCGATCTAGGTCCCTATAGGTTTTTTTATATTTACGTTCTAGTTTTGATAGTTTTAAAATTTTAATTTTATGACCTATAATTCTTAATTCATAAATTATTATTAAGCCTTCAGCTCTTAATATTAAACTTTAAATTCGAATAATATAAGCCCTAATATTCTAAATTCTAGACCTTAAAAATCTTAAAAATTAACTTTATAAAATCTAAATCCAAATACTGTAAATATTAAATATTGAACCCTAAAAAATCTAATATCCTGGTCATTAATCCTAAAAAAGTTGAACCCTAACGCCTAAAGTCTGGAAAAAAAAAAAAAAATAAAAGTTGTTTAAGGACTAAAATGAGTATAAATAATTGCAAACTTAGAAAACTTATCAATGGACATAGATGATTCAAGTTGGTTAGACCTAGTGTAGGTCTAAGGAGCTTAAGTCCCTCTATAATTATTTAAAACAAAAGTCTTACAAATTACCATTAATTCAAGACTGCATTTTAATATTTTATAATATGATAGAGAGTAAAAAAAAAAAAGCTTTAAATTTGGGTTTGTTTACTTCAATTAAAAAATTTAGAGTCTAGTTTGGCTCAAAAGAGCTTGACAGTCTGTTTCAAAAAAAAAAAAATTTGGGGCTTAAAACAGTTTTGCCTTTTTTTTAAAGATATTTATTGAAGAACTTGAAGAAAAAGTCGGGAAATTGAATAAATTCACAGATTCTGTAAAATTTTAGTTATGATCAAAACAGCACAGTTTTAGGGTTGTGCATTTGGGCGGTTACCCAAATGGGTAACCCATAACCAAAAAAAATTTAAATTCGAGTAGGTACAATCCGTTTTTGGTCTTTTTTTCTTGGTTTAGATATTAACCAAAAAAATTTTGGTTTGGTTTGGGTTTAAAAGTTTATTAATTAAAAACCGATTAGCCTTCAAAAAACCTAAATTCAGGCCCAATTGTTAGGTCCAACAGATTTTTTTGGTTAAATATGATATGTAATATAATCTATTATTTAAAAAAAAAATTGTCTAATGTTTGTTTGGTGAAAACTGAATTAAATATGAAATAATCAATTTTATTGGTAACCAAACAAAAAAAAAAAAAGAGAAGTTTGATTCAATTTCAGTTCTTAAAATTGAGGAAAAAGTTTTTGGTTAATTTGAAACCAATTTTGGTTTAACCCAAAACCCATGTTTGCCCGCCCCCACGCAGTTTTTCCGTTTTCCGTTTTCCGTTTTCCGTTTGCCTTCCTATGGTACCATCATACCTGACAAAAATAATGAAGAATTGAATAACAAAACCCACAACTTATAAAATCAAAAAATAAAAATAAAAATTAAACTTGTTCTAGAGTACTAGTTATAAAGTAAGTCAAGTTTTTTAGAAAATTATTTTCTTTAATATATTAAATTAACGTAAAAGTATATTTTTAAAATTATTTAAAAAGTAATTAGTTTTAAACTATGCAAGAGTTCACACAAAAATATTATGAACGTAAATACTAAAAAAATATTAATTACTTTCTTTGATCAAATTTAATTGTCTTAATTCTAAACAAAGATAGTTTAATTTAAGTGTCTTACTTTTTTTTTGAATAACATATTAAATACTAATATTTTAATTTTACTTTTATCTCAAAAAAAATAAAAATGTGTTAAGATTTTTTCTCTTAATTATAAATAAGGGCAAAAAAAAGATAAATTTTAATTATTAAAATAATAAATTTCTTAATGATTATGAATGAATAAAATATTACAACTAAATGCGACAAAAAAGGAATTCAAAGTAAAAGTATACGAAATAAGGCAATTGAGAAAATTATTGCACTTGGATAGGATTGCAGTAATTAATTTATAAAAATAATTATGAAAAGAATTACTTGTCCAATAACCAAAAAATATATATATATATAATTCTTCTAAAAAAAATTTTTGAATCGTCCCAAGCTCATCTTTGGAGACCAGAAAACAAAAATAGAAAAACGAAATCAAAATGAAGGAAACGGGGAGAAAATTGAGGGAAAGGAGATAAAACAGCATCCACTTGATTAGAAGCATTTTCTTGATACAAAATGTGTAGGTATATATCTCTGGATCCATCTTTAGAAGCATTTCCTGTGGACAATTGATGGCCCGGATTCATCGTACTCTGCCTTTGCAATCCACATCTGCACTCATGAAAGAACATTTTGTTTATAAAAAATTGTCTCTAATCAAAACAAGATTCTTCTCTCTAGGGCCTCTCTGTATGACATCCCAATTATTATAGAAAGAAGAATGGAAATCCTACCTGTTGGAAGGTGCTGAGAGATGCCAAAATGGAGCCACCAATCCAGACACTGTACTTTCTTTCTGGTGGTGCTACCACCTTAATCTTCATGCTACTTGGAGCTAAGGCTGAAATTTCCTTGCTCATCCTGTCAGCTATACCGGGGAACATGGTGGAACCACCACTGAGAACAATATTGCCATAAAGATCTTTCCTAATATCGACATCACACTTCATGATAGAATTGTATGTAGTTTCATGAATGCCAGCAGCTTCCATCCCAATCATGGATGGCTGGAAGAGGACTTCTGGACAGCGGAATCGTTCAGCCCCAATGGTGATAACCTGGCCATCTGGCAGTTCGTAGCTTTTCTCCACAGAAGAGCTGGTCTTGGATGTCTCTAGCTCTTGTTCATAGTCAAGAGCAATATAGGCTAGTTTCTCCTTCATGTCCCTCACAATTTCACGCTCAGCAGTGGTGGTAAAAGAGTAACCAGGTTCGGTTAAGATTTTCATAAAGGCATCAGTCAGATCACGCCCTGCCAGGTCAAGACGCAGGATGGCATGTGGGAGGGCATAGCCTTCATAGATTGGTACCGTGTGGCTCACACCATCCCCAGAGTCCAGAACAATACCTAAACAATAACCATGAGCAGGTCAATCTATGCACATGGTCCAACAAAGTTAGACAATTGCCCAAGCAGCTACCTGAATAACCTTCTTAGATTTATGATGCTACATAAATAACCAACGGTTGTTTGTCCTAAATCTATGATTCTACTTCTTTTTATCTGAGTACATGGTATCTTGATATGAAATCTGTCATTTTTTTTATCATCAGAAAGATATAGCGGTCAGTGGTGTGACTATGTTGTCTGAAAATGATCTACTTACGGATAATGATAATCATTTCTCGTGCATTACCTTAAGTCCAAGACTTTAATATCATATTCTTAGAACTCCTTTTTGTTCTAAACCTAACCATAATTTGATGGTTATGATCCATTCATCACAGTTAATAAAATGTATAGAAAGATGAAGTGCTTACCAGTTGTACGACCACTGGCATAAAGGGAAAGGACAGCCTGGATAGCTACATACATAGCAGGGGTGTTGAAGGTCTCAAACATAATTTGAGTCATTTTTTCACGATTGGCCTTGGGGTTGAGAGGAGCTTCTGTGAGGAGAACTGGATGTTCTTCTGGGGCCACACGAAGCTCATTGTAGAAGGTATGATGCCAGATTTTCTCCATATCATCCCAATTATTTACAATACCATGCTCAATTGGGTATTTCAAAGTTAAAATACCTCTCTTTGATTGTGCTTCATCACCCACATAAGCATCTTTTTGGCCCATGCCAACCATCACACCAGTGTGGCGAGGGCGGCCCACAATGCTAGGGAACACTGCCCTAGGAGCATCATCTCCAGCAAATCCAGCCTAAAAATTTTAAAATGAATTAGCATCTAAATCTTCTAAATTTCATAGTCATCACTTACAACATAATGGACATCAGATGATTACCTTGACCATTCCAGTCCCATTGTCACAAACAAGGGGCTGAATATCCTCACCATCTGCCATTTTCTATTTGCCTGTTACATATAATTATCACAAGTGATCAAAACAAAACACAGAAATGTTATTCGTATTATATAATCACAATGCTTTCGTTAGCATGTCATGCACTAAAATGCCCGAAATCACAACAAATGATAATACTGCCATGAATGCATCCACACATTTCTACAAGTTAACAATACAAATAATACAATAAAGATACCCAATCAAGACAAAGCTGTGAGCCTGCAAGTCTAAGAATTTTGTAGTTAACAGACACCAAAATTTTACTTTGTACAAATGAAACATAATATGAGCAGATTAAACCAGATTTAACATGAGAATTCACTCAAATGATAAGATAGCAAGTTTCCAATTCTGATCTTTGATAAATCATCTAAAATGAATTCCAATCTATACCATGCAGATTCTCATCACAATTAAGACAACAACGATCGCCAAATGATCCATAAAATGCAAATAATTTATAGTTCAGCATAACAATATCTGGATAAAACCCAAGAAATTACAACCAGAAATCAGATTATGACTAGAGTCGTCCTATACAATAACTCTCTACACAGGATCAGAGATAATGCGATAAACCGATGAAGATCAAGTCACATTCGTAATAAAATTGGAGAGAAAAAAAGGAAAAAAAAAAAAAACACAAATAAAAGATCTACGCATCAAAAACCAAAGAGTGAAAAGGCTAAAAACGATTGGATGCCTCAAAGAAACAGAAATCAGCGCGAAATGTGATGAATCGTTGACGATCGAAACAACAATGAGGCATCAAACAGCTCGAAACTCCTCAGGTGAGGAAAATCAATCTAGACATCAAAATCCGATCCTCATTCGATCCTTCAAATTAGCAGAGATTAGTAAGAAATGCGATGCGCCAACGACGATCGGAACAACAATGCCGCTTCAAACGCACGGAATTCCTCCGGCGAGGAAAAATCAATATATGCCTCAAAATCCGATCCGCAAAAACTCAAAAAAAAAAAAGAAAAGAAAAAAAAGACGATGCTTCAAAGTGGCAAAGTGGCAGAAATCAGTGCGAAATGCGATACGCCGACGACGATCGGAACAACAAATGCGGACTAAAACGTTCGAAACTCCTCAGGCGAGGAAAATCAATATACGCATAAAAATCCGATCCGCAAAAATCCCAAAAAAAAAAAAAAAATTCAATGCTTCCAAGTAGTAGACATCAGTGCAAAATGCGATAAATAGGTGAAGATTAGAACAACAATTTCGATCCAAACAGCCAGAAAATCCACAGGAAAATCAAATTAAATGCGAAGAAAACGAAGAATTACCTTTGAATTTCGGAGTGATCTTCTCTCTCGAGGGACTGTGGAAGATGGAGGAGTCTGTGCGTGCGTTGTTAAGGTACCCGCCTCTATGGATTTTAAAAAAGGAAAGGTGTTGGAAATGAAACTCGGCCTCAAATGAAATGCAACATAAATGAATTCTAAATTTGCTTTCCAGTGATCCTGGCCGTCT